TTCAGCCTGAATAGAAGGTAACATGTAACTCACACATTACGGTGTGTATGTGCCCTAGACCGACCAGGGAACATCAGCTATAGCTAGCTACTCATCCTTTGCGATATACACACCCTAACTATGATTCTAAGACTCAAGCTCATATCACGGTACCATAAGTATATATATATATTCCATCCAAAACCAATGTTGTGCCGGTCAACTGTTCGTCGCCAAGACACGACATATAATTAGGATTTAAATGTTTTAATTAAATCCCTATCCTTCCTAATACAAAATGTAAAAACAACCATCTGTTATGTCGTTCAACTGTTTTAGTTGACAAGACATGTATCCATGTAGGATTTAACTGTTTTAGTTAATCCATTCCGTATGTATAAACAGGTAAGGATTAGTGTTTTGATCTAATTCCTTCCTCATATGCTACCGTCCCATACTAGTACATATAATGCAAATGATTCATAAATGATGCACACTCAATTGAACATCAAATACGTCCAGAGACAAACATAATAGCAATCAAATATAGATAAGATCCTATTATGCATCCAATATATGATTATAATCATAGATCCTCTTTTGAAATTGTTAAAGTAATGATAAACAATTTAAACCATCCATTTTCATATAATTGATAGAACAAAAATTATAACAGTTCAGCAATTAACATCCATAGCATGATATAATGATTATCAGAATTATAAACTGCACATTATACTAGAATTCCTAACCAATACTTCCATATTAGTTCATTTACATTGCTAAAACGAAGACTAGCATTTAAATCCTCCTCAATCCTTGACGGCATGCAAATTAATATTCAAATCTCATGACATCCATCTAATCCTTAATCATAATTCCTACACCTGGTATAATGGCACTCAGAAGTCTAGACGGAGTACATTATATGAAGTCCCAAAAGTATTTTAATACTATATCGTTTAATTTGCTGAAACAACCACTAGTAATCAAACTTACATATTTCGTGATAACATGTAAATTATTGTTTAATTTCATGGAGTCCATTAACAGAGTAAAACCAACATTCCTAGCCTTCATTAAATTATATATAAATATCATTTATATAAAATCTAAAACATAACTCCCATTCCAGTCCATTTGGTTTGCTCAACAAACTAGAAACTAAGTCCTCCTCCTTACTTGGTAGCATGCATAGTTCTTTAAAAATTCATGACACCCGTTTCTAGATCATAAACCAATATTTCTGGGTCTTTAAATATGTTATATATATTATTTTAAAACCCCCAATTAAATTTTAGTATTGCATTTTAGCCCCTACAGTCCGAAAAACCGCCAAAACCACTTACTAGGCATTTACAAAAGGTAGAGGAGGCTCCAATATAAGGTAGAGGAGGTTCCAATTTTTAGGTTGAGGAGGCTCCAATTTAAGGTAGAAGAGGCTCCAATTTTAGGTTGAGGAGGCTCCAATTTTAGGTTGAGCAGACACCAATTTTAAGTTGAGCAGGCTCCATTCCCCTTGGAGCTGCCTCTACATCATGTGGAGCCGGCTCCACTTCAATGGAGCCACCTCTATTAAAGGGTGGAGCCACCTCCACTCTCCTAGCCTCCGTTATTCCTTCTCCGGCGTTTTCCAGACCCTTTGTCTTCCATTGCTAGGGTTCCTAGGTGTCTGAACTAGATCCCAACACATTCCCAACATGTATACAACACAGTATGCATCACAAATTTCGATTGAAAACATCTAATTAAGTATCACAATTCAAGATTACACAATTTACATAAAACTGTTGTAGTTTAAAATTGACATGAAATCTGGATCAGTTAAAAATAGCATGCAATCCAACTATCAGTTTTAAAAGTTGAATTAATCGTTGGAGACTATAAAGGATGCACAGAACACAAGTTTACAGGATGGAGATAGAATAAAACTTGCTTTTAGGTTTTGGTTTGACACCTTTCAACGTCGTCTCTAAATTCTCCGATGACTACCGACTATCGGTAAACCTCCTACTGCCCGGTTTCATTCCCTGAGCCATCCCTTCCTTCATCCTTGGTACGACCTATAGGCCATAACTGAAATCCTTTTCGGTGGTTCTCACAGTTTCCTCTCAAGCTCCCCTCTGCTTTCCCCTTCAAGCACCATTACGTGCGTCTGTGTTTCCTTTCAAGAACCCTTACGTGAATAGGGTTTATTTTTTTAATCCTAGCCGACGTATACCATTCAATATATATAGGCATTTACTAAAACCTATATTCTAATTCCCAACTAATTATAAGTCGGTGACCCATAAGAAAAACGAAACCCTAAACTATTTATAACGTACACAATTGATAAACAAAAGACTAAACAACATAGTCCACCTAAGCACATATGTAAAAACACAAATAAATTATATAAGCTATCAAATAAAACACGTCAATTCAATCACCAATTAATAAGATAATTAATTTAAATAAAGAATTAAATAATTAATTTAAAATAAACAAACAATTATAATAAATAATTAATTTAAAAAAATACACATTTAACCAATTAAGCACATAATTAAAATAAAAAAAAATTTGAATTTAAATTCCAACTATATTCTTTTGAATATTAGGGGTATTACACTAGCTAATTTAATGAAAAGCACAACCTATTAAATGAGACCAATTTCCATTCAAGAAAACCACAATTAATACACACTCAATTATCTAGAGGCATACATTCTTTGCATTCATAAGTATGGAATATCAAGAAACAAGAATAGATTGTCCACCTATCTAAGAATTTAAAGCAACTTCACTACATCTAGGCTAAATACATGAAATTTAAACTAATTAAACTAAGGGTATGGCACAATCCAACAAGAAACAAGTGTGAACCATCAAATAAATCACAAGAATGTTCAATAAAGCACTATGTTTTGATCATCTCTAGATTAACAACATCAACACACATAGACATGCATTAATTGCATTAAATCTAGAGAAAAGCACATGAATCATCCATTCTAGCAGACATAGACATCTGGTTAGAGATAAAGAATCAATTGAAAGTATTAAAATCCATACACATCAAGTAGAAACCACAAGATATATATTAATCCAAGATCAAAACATTTATTACAATAAAATCCCCAAAAATATGCAAAAGATTAGGTCTAGGAAGCAAACTTAGGGGCTATCTCTAGCCCCAAGAGAAGGATTTAGCCACTCATGGCAGTGGACATGGAACCCTCAAGGGCTAGCTTGGAGGTTGGCATCATTATCTTCATCTTTGCTTTCTTCCCAAAACCCTATATCATTTCTTTGTGGGAAAATTGTGATTCTTCGTCAAATTGTATTAACCTTGCGGCTTTCATCTGTTGGCCTTTACAGAAGTGCCGCAATGACCTTATGTTCAACAACCAGCTGTGGGATCTGTTTGCAGCTGTTCAACTAGTAGTTCGGAATTTTCATGAATTCAAAGAGGTGAGTTCTCAGGATACTCTCCTCTCTTTGCCTCTGGCCTCTGCTCCTCCTCGGTGCTCCGCATCAACTGTGATACCCCGGGGTATTACATCAACCCCCCTTGGTTTTGGTTTTCTTAAACTTAATTTTAATTCCTCTTTTAACAATGTTTCCAAGTCTTGCGGAGGAGGCATTATTCTCATAAATCATTTTGGGCAGCCAATTCGAGTTGCTTCAGTTTTCTTTAGATTTGTTTGCAGCTCGTCCATGGCGTCGGGAGTCTCTCAAGCTTCTTCAGTGTTGGGGTTATTCACAGGTCATTGTGGAAGGTGATTGTAAACCAATTATGGCTCTTTTTCATTCGGAAGATGCCCTTTCTGTTTTTTATGAAGATGTATCTATTCTTCTTAATTCTTGCTTGGGTTCTTCTCTTGGTTGTACCCCTCGTTTAGGCAATGATGTTGCTCACTTAGTGAGTAAATCGGCTTTAGACGTCAATTGTGGTGATTTCAAGTGTAGCATATGGCGTGATTGTTAAATGCTCTTTATCCTGATTGTATTTTCTATTTGTTCTAATGTTATTCTCTTAAGTGAAAAGAAAAAAGAAAAAATCCCAACTTTTGTTTGATTAGCACTTTAAATCACACCATGTGCTCCACTATCCGCAAAGCTCGATTGCAATCTAATCAAGCCCAACGTAACAGCTACTCTTCGTGGACAGAAGTTAAAGTTACATTATCTTGGTATTTAATTTAACCTATTAGTGGGTGGTTTACCCAAAATCCTAAAAAGGTTAAAAGGTTGATTTGAATCTATCCATCTACAGTTGTCATTGCTCCAACCCATATATGCTACATATAACATACTTTCCTACTGGAGATGGTGATATTATATTATAGATAAATGTACAAGAAAGAAATTGCTTGTCAATTGTTACAACTTGCTTTAGCATTACCAAAAATTAAGCTCCTCCAGTCGTACCTATCAATATTCGTGACTTGCTTGTCCATTCTGCTTTTTAGTTTATATATATATATATATACAAGAAAGAAATTGCTTGTCAATTGTTACAACTTGCTTTACCATTACCAAAATTAAGCTCCTCCAGTCGTACCTATCAATATTCGTGACTTGCTTGTCCATTCTGCTTTTTAGTTTATATATATATATATATATATGTATATAGATATTCAACTTGCCTCTTTTTTATTTAATTTAAATAATACTAGTAAAAATAACTAAGATCCATAGTAAAGCGACAATTATATAAAAAGAATAGTTTATTCTTTTCCAACAACTTCACTTCTTGCTATCTGAAAATAAAGTGGTTTTCTATCAAGAACACAGATGACATTCTACATTTTCCCGGTAAATGAGATCATATTGACCATTAAAACAATATGTACAGTGAAAAAGAGGCTGTATAGCCTTGGAACCTGAAGAGAATAACAAAATTCAGACAGCTGACTATCTAAACAAAAATTCTGGCATCATAGAGATGTTATGATCTTTCCTCTTCAACAAGAAGTTTCATTGTTCAAGTCCCGCTAAGAACAGTATTTTGAGTGTCTCTGCGGTTGCTTGAACTTCTAAAAAATATGAGCAATGCACTTGGTACCTTGTCAAACCACAATTGGTACCTTCATTTTCTCCATCCTAATATTGAAATCTTGATCATTCCGGTAATTATGTATCAAACCTTCAGCTTCTAGTGGGGTTATGGTTACAATGGTTTCTTGTAACGGCTGGGGTGGTGGTTGAGGTGGGCTAGCCTGAGTACACTCCATCATCTTTTGACATGTCTCAATGAGGCAGTGTCTGCAAGTAGGGCACGAGGAATTTGAACTGAGCCACTTATCGATGCACCGGACATGGAACCCATGGTTGCACTGGGGAAGAACACGTAAACACTCGCCGTCTGTGAACTCCGATAGGCATATCACACACTCAGTGTCCAAGCCAGGCTGATCCAAGCCATCTGAATACGTCACTTTTGGGAATGCCTCGAGGGCCTTTTTGTTGATCCCTGCTGTCTTGGCTAACGGAGCTGAGGGGTTGTTACCGGTTTCGGAGGGCACTGCACGGGTGCACCTTAAGGCACATCTAAGGATGGAATACAACCCTATTGAGCATATTATAGCACAAATGAGGAGTGTGACCATTACAACATTTGCATCAAAAGAATGATCATCTGAGTCAAATGGTGATATGTCGTGTTTGGTTCCGGTCGCCGGAGGAGTTGCCGTAGTTGGTGACTGACAAAGAGGGATTTTTAGTAGCAATCTTCTTGAGTAGAATTGAAAATCTTGGAAGATATGAGCAGAAGAGGAAGAAGGAAAGTAAGACATGTTGACAGGTTTGAGGAATAATTTAGTTGATAAAACTCCTTGGAGGTGGCTGTACAGGGGAGCATATACATCTATATATAGGGGGGAAAAGGATTTTGTTTTTTTTACAAGTTGAAGATAGTTGATTTCGCTTTTCAAGATTTACATATATATATATATATATATATATATATATATAGATTATGTGAGTCAACATTTAGCCGACTAGACACAGCACCACAAGGATGCTGTGCCCCCTCAATACCAACTTGCAGAAATATTATCTTTCTAGATAATATACACACGTGTATGTGTATGGGTGTGTGGATTATTAAAAAGCTCATCAAAATATTTTGAGAATCTCTTAGGAGGGTTTAAGAAATCTTACTGAATCTGGCATATCCTTTGATTCCACTAATTTTTTTTATCTTTTTTCGATGATGTTGATTTGGAACCTCTTAAAGTACTCGAATATATATACGTGCAGTTCCCCTTCCATATGCACAGCGCAATAATCCGGAAAATTCCCTGGCCCAAGGAAATCCACTAATTTATTTTGGTTTTTTATATTTGAAAGGGTGGAAAGCGTCAGCAGACCTGAGCCGAGATATGTCCGGCCCAAGGCGCCCAGTCAATCCAGCCCTTCATCAACCCTATGGCCCAAAGGTGAGGCCCAATCCGTGCAAAGTCCAAAATATAGCAAGACCGAGCCTCCAATTGGGTCGGTTTGGATTGATGAATTGCCCCATAGCGGAAAGTGGCCCATCAACTTTTTACTTGAGAGAAAAAGCATAGGAAATTAGGGTAGGAGGGACACTTTTAGAAGTGATCGAGAGAGGAAGAAAGAGAGAGTTGTTCTTGGAGTGTGAGAAAATCATTCTTAATATAGAAGAACCTTTTTCTTTTATTTTCATCTAGCGTCGTAGCTGAACAAATCCCCCAGTAACTTCGGGGTGAGTAAACAAATTTACTCGTAGAGAATAAGCATGCATAGACTCGATTTCTTTCAGATTTTTAGACTAATATGAAACAATTCAAAATGGGTCATGCCACCTAACGTCTATGTTAAGATAAGACTCAGGGAGCATCCTAAACTACCCTAGATCATTTCTGGCATATTCACATTTTTCATGCAATTCAAACACATGGAAGCATATTATACAAAGTAACAAGATATAGATTCCCATAGTATCGACTTGAAATCTAAAGATACAAAAAAAAAAAAAAAAAAAAAAAAAAAAAAAACAACTAAAGTGGGTTATGTCACCTAACGTCTATGTCCCAATGAATCTATATGATCATTTCTAAGTTATATTTGAACATCAAAACACAAATCATGATATTGATGCGATTTAACCAACATTGGAACTTCCAATACAACACATAAAGCATAATTCCTCTAAATTAACATCTTGAAGCTCATAACGGGAAAACCAATTAAAGAATAACAAGTTACGATATCAGCTAGTTATCAACTTGAAATGAAATGCGAAATCAACCAGAGTGAATACTTAGACGTCACGCCAGATCAGACCGACACTATAGTTACTTTAGGGTTACTAGCCCATGGTAAATCTCCCTATGTGCGCACTAGACTATATAAAGGGACAATCCCCTGTACTAGAACCAAGTCCTAGTCGTAGCCAAACAACGACATCCCCAAGTTTTCAAAATCAACAAGTTATGCAATAACGTATATATCAACATGTATATAAAAGATAATCAACTATCTACCATGTACAACCGAATTTGGAAACACATACAATACATGCTTTAAGTTCACAACTACTAAGGCATGACAAATGTCGAATCTTCAGTGTGCAATTCGTTACACGCTATAACGAAATATCTCAACATTGAAATCATAAACTCATGAATCTAATACAAGTCCAAAATCATGATTTTAAACATACTACCAACATCAAGTACATGATTATATTATTAACGCAATAGAAACGAAAATTAAGTAAATAAACTAATTAATTTCCTTAGGTTTCAATCCTCAACCAAATGGTCCCTAATTAACACATGTTAAACAATATAGCATGGTCATTACATATATCAAATTAAAACTTAATTAGGTCATTGAAACAATAAGGTAGAATTTAATTAAAACATGATAATTAAATCTCTAACTCCTAAAACAACTTCAAATGGCCCCAAATTAATATATATTAGTATACATGTCCTAGTCATTACAATTGCCAAGTTAAAATTTTAATTAAGTCAAAGGAACCACTAAATAGATTTTAATTAATCTTTTTAATTAAAATCTCTACATTTTAAACTTATCCAAATACTCTCAAATTAAAGTATGTTAAAGAACATGCCAAGGCCTATTTAAATGTCACATTACAACTTAGGATTTGTAGATTTAAGCATGTATGATATGTATTTATCTTATGTAGAATTATTAATGTTATATACAATCCTTATTGACTTGAATTGCTATATTTATTGTGGTGATAATTCTATATTCTAGTTGATTACTATTGGTAATTGTTATAATCTAGTATATAAAGCTTATTGTTGAGACATGATTTAAATAGATAAGTTGATTGTATTATATTGTACATTATATCATGATAAAGACTTGTCATTTGGTATACTATTTTATACTTGGAACTCTAAGACATGGTTTATATGATTTTAAATTACTTATGCATGGAAGGTAGTTTATATGCCTTAATTATTTTATAAAAGTTTTAAACTTAATTATGATTTTGGATTCTCTTACGATATTGTTATAAATGACATGGCTAGAGTTTGGTTCTAGTACGGGAGGTACGAATTCTCCTCATTCTCTTTCCCTGAGAGTTGTCAAAATAATAACCTTTTGAGAGTCGGCTCTCACCTTGTTCTACATCATCTTCCTCATCTCTGACGAGTTCTAATCCTTCTGTTCTCCATTGTTAATGGTCCTAAGAGTCTGAACTAAGTCCTAAATCATTCCAGTAATTTATATAAATCAATTATGCATCATTAACATCAATTAAAATAAATACACATGGCATAAATTGCAAGATCAATCAATTACAAATAAATTCATCTAACATTGTTTTAACCAGAATTAACATGCATAATAGATTAATTTAAAGTCTGATTAGTTCCTAGAATTAACTTAGAACTATATAGAACACGAAGTCTAAGGGAAATAGATAGAATAAGAACTTGCCTCTAGGTTTCAGATTGAAACCTTAACCTTTTCTTCCTAGACTTTCCGGCGACTTCAGCCTGCCGTCAAGACTCTCTGTTGCCCCTAGTTCAACCCACGAGCAAGCTTCAATAACCCTTCCTTGTTTCAGCCCATGTTCTTGGCCAAAACCCTAATTCTACCTCTCTTAGTTTCTCTCTAAAACTCTCTGTATTTTTTTACCTCCACCATTACGTGAATAGGATTCTAAACCCCTAGCAGACTATACACACGTATATATAGGCTTGTATAGTTTAACATAATTCTAATTACCTAAGGAGAAGAAAAAGAAAAATAAAATAAATAAATAAATAAATATATATATATATATATATATATATATATATATATATATATCTGCACCCTAAACTAACCGTGATATAAGAATATGTATGCCAACTGTATAAATATATATATATATAGATAAAACCAACTAAAGTTAAAATAATATTAACTACTTTTAACAAATAATAAATATATAGCTATATATATGCATATAAACCTATATATATATGCATAACAATTCATTGGTAATATTAGTACCCATTTAACTTCTAAGGAGAAGGAAAAGAAAAATAAAAATAAATAAATATATATATATATATATATATATATATAGATAAAACCAACTAAAGTTAAAATAATACTAACTACATTTAACAAATAATAAATATACAACTATATATATATATGCATATAAACCCATATATATATATATATATGCATAACAATTCATGGGTAATATTAGTACCCATTGAACTCCTATCCAAGTAGTCTATGTAACCTATTTGGTGGTCCATTACTATTATCCAAGTCCATCCTTAAAAAATATAAAAATTAAAATAAAAAAATTTAACTAATTTAAATATAATAATTAATTACACATAATACCATCAACGGATAACAAATAATGCAGTTAAATCATTTAAATTCAAATAAATCAAATAAGCCCACAAAATTACATTTAAACACTTAATTAAATTAAACACATAAACAATTAATCAATTAACTAATTTTAAAAAATGAAATTAAACAAATAAATAAATGCCAAGACTATCCTTTTAAAATTAGAGATATTACATTCTTTCCCCGTAACAAAAGGAATTCCGTCCTCGGAATTCGCCCTTACCTATATCCATTATTTCTGGAAAGTGTGAGCAAATGATATCCTTGCGTTCCCACGTGGACTCAGCCTCATTGTGGTGACTCCACTGGACACGTATTAACGATATGACCTTGTTGCGAAGAATTTAATCCCTACGGTCTACAATACAATACGATGGCTCCACATATGTGGCATCTGGCTGCAACTCAATCTCACTGACATGAATATGTTGATAACGATTTGTATCTCACAAAAATTTTCGTAACATGGAAACATTAATCACATTATGGACTCGATCCAAATTGTCTGGAAGAGCTAAGCGATAAGCTACTGCTCCAATTCGATCTGTAATCATTAAATGAGCGACAAAACGTGGTGACAACTTCCCTTTCTTCCCAAAGTGTATTACTCCTTTCATAGGAGACACTTTGAGTAAAACCTGATCTCCAACCTGAAATTCCAAAGTGCGAGTACGACGATCTACATAGCTTTTCTGCCTACTCTGGGTAGTGTGCATGCAATCCTTAATAAGGGCAATCTTTTTCGAGGGATCCTTAATGAATTAACGACCCAAAAGTCTATTCTCTCCAACCTCCATCAATAAATAGGAAATTGACACGGTTGGCCATATAATACTTCAAATGGTGCCATACCAATAGTCTTCTTAAAACTATTGTTATATGCAAACTCTATAAGTGACAAATAATCCTCTAAGTAACCTTT